GATTCGCTACAGTATAGCCGAATTTATGAACCATTTTCTGATAAAAAATGTGGTAATGGGCCCCACCAACTACAAGTCTCATCACATGCCTCATCAAACAGTCAGCTCTTTCCCTTATGCCACGCTTACGTCTTAAGTACCACATGGTACCCATCGATGTTGACGACACCCTTTTATGGTGGCATGCCCTCCCCACATCCTTCGATGTGGGATTGCTTCTACATTTCAACAAGGGCAAGTTCGTCAAGGATTGCTCCCCACATCCTTCGATGTGGGATTTTTTTATTTTTTATTTTGATAATGAACAGCAAGCAGAGTTTTAGTCAGAAACCTTAGAAATCCTCAAAAAAGGAACCCAAGGAACCAAATATTGCCTCATGAATGGGAATTAAAACCCAGAACCTTTGATTCCTTGAAACAACAATAGGATTTTGGATCGATAACAGATTACATGTTTGATTTCACAGAATTAAAAGGGACTTTCTGCTTCGTGAGAGATTACATGTTTAGAGAGAGACAAAAAGTGAAAGAGTAGTTACCGGGAGAGAAAGAAATGATTTGGCATGCCGTAGGGAGCAAAAGGACAAAGGCTGGGCCCTAATACATGAATGCTCAGAAAGAGGGAGATTGAAGCCAGAGATACAGAGGAAATTATAATCATAATGGAGAAACTTCGGATTAAGAGTAGAGAGATAGAGCCTGCGCTTATTCTAGTAAGGTCAATGGGAGGTTTGATGTTAGGGTTTTGATGGAATTGTTGCAAGAACATGGGAAAATATGAGTAGCGTCGGAAAGAGAGAGTTCAGGCAGGGTAAAAGGGCACTCATCAACTTTTCTTGATTGCTTCTATCTCTCTTGCTTATATTCGCCTACATGAAACAATCTATAAAATAATGTTTTTTAAAATTAATAATATTAATTTCTTTTTTATAATTTACAAAAAATAAAAGTACATATAGTTAAGTTTTAATTACATATAATTATAAAAAATATATTCTAACTAATTAATTACATTAAACTTGTTCCATATATCTTCTTTCAAAATTCAAGACTCCTAAGTTAATATAATAATAAAATAAATAAATTGAGTTAGAGATATTCATTTTATTGCCATGTTGCATTTTTATTTTTATTTTTATTATAAAATACAGACAACAAACACTTGACATGAAACAGATTCTCAGTGTTTACATTTTTTTACACAATAATGAAAAAACATAATGCAATTGTCACTATTTCTTTTAGAAACTAAAAGAACACTATATTTAGATTTATAGCAATTTTTTGAAAAAAATTCGTTACAAAACTGGCCGATTCAGCAATTCTTCGAACCGATCCACCGATCCGACACGGGTATGGGTATGACCGATTCGGGTCACCGATACACTTTTTTAAACGCTGGGAATAAGTAAGAACAAAGATTACCTCGATGGACTTTAATTTTATGCCTTATTGATATTATTTGTCCCTAGTGGCACAATCTAAAACTCGTACAAATTCAACTTTATTGTTAGGAGCACTTGAATGTTCACATTGTATTGAGCATAATGGCGCACATATTAAATTGTTCCATGATCTGACTCTTAAAATCAATCTCATAACTAGTATAAAAGTAGTGTGGTTTGATAAAATACCCCACTCCACTCAAGGGCCTATGCAGGTACGCCACTTTTCATCTGCAATCTTTTAAATTGGTGAATATTTTTTCTCATCATACCGAAAGTTCCTCATCTTCCTTTTCACCATCCATCAAATGCAACACCTTTATCAAGGGATTGAACACTTGGTAGGAGTAGGCCACCCCATTCTCAAATTGGGGTTCTAGAATAATACGAAATGCCGCCTTTCCTTTTGTGCTTGGTCCACTTGCTCTTGATCTGTTATTTGTGCAATAGTAGATTGTAGTGTCAAGTATGAAGTGGCAAACCGCATCATCCCTTGCCTTATGAACTTCCTCTTCTTAATGAACAACCTCATCATGGCAAGGACATGTGTGTGGTCATAAATGAAAATAGTAATGGTGTTTGACCTTTATTGTCCCCATGACAATTTCCAACTTACCAATCACCTCAAGCATGAGGCCCATATGATGTTGTTGTGCATGGTGTCCCAAAAATAGGCCACAACCATGTTTGTGACAACCTAGTGATACATTGCTCTTCCACCTACACTATACATTAGTCCACAATGCTATAAATGAATTTTGCATTGTGTCTCCTCAGATGCATCAATGGACTTCAAAAAACACTATCCCCATTGGACAACGCAGCATAAACTCCATAATACTTCTCCCTTCCTATCAGTCCATGAATCAGTTATTATGGTGCGCCATATTTCCCCATGTATCTTATGGGTCTTCAAATAACCATTTGTGAGCTCCACCTCCTTTGGCAATGGCTACTTACGCTCAAACGGAATATGGGCCACCAACAGGCTCAAATTGTCTCACTCCTTTCAAAATACTTGACTGAGCTTCAAGCTAGCAACATTAGAAGAAATTCCCACTTGGTATATCCATTGGGCTATGTGTTTACATCGTCCTCCTTGAAGTGATTCTCTACAGCAGTTTGTTTCCCAAATTCTCACCACGGCCTCTTGACCGTGTAACATAACAAATCATAGGACCTTTGTACCTTTGTCTAAACATGCCTCTCCCTAATAATCATCTTTTTTCTTTTTTCCCAAACACATCCATTGATCTAACAATCTCATATTTATTGTTTTCATCTTCGTTTTTTGGCCCACCACCAAATGGGCAAACTTTTCTCACCCTGGCATCTGGTGTTACCACCTTATATGGGGCTACATCACCTCTCAAAACCGACAAAATATTTCTTTACTCGATGTAATCCAGCATTGTAACTATTTTCACACGAATTATGTTGAAACCTATTCTTATCTTTTTGCATGGGGGAAATAGTTTGAACTTGGACCATAGTTGCAGGAACCTTGGGGGGGAAGGCAACAATCCCACCTCAGGAACTCGATCCCACAGTTCCTCTAACGGATCTTAGAAAAGGTGGGTTTAGAGAAATAGGGATCTCGCTACTTATAAAATTAAATCTCGATCTACATGCTTGTAGGATCCCTCCGAGGAGAAGCATTATACTATTAATTGAATTATTGTTGCTCTCCTTGGTATTATACATTTATTTCTTTAGAATATATTAAACAGCAGTGCATATCAAATCATGGCATACTAGAATTGTGGTATTAAAAAACTACAGTTTAATATCACAGTAACCAAATTTATGATATTTATTAAACTATATTATAACTATGACATTGGCAATAAGCTAAGGTATATGTTAATAGATCGAACAGGTTGAAACCCCTTACAATATCACTAAAGGGATGAAAAGATTACAAATTACATTTGCGGGTAATGCTTTTAACTTTTGACATCAATCAGCTATGTCCTCAAAAAATTGTTCAAAATGTCCAAATTACCCATGTTGCGTGTTGGGAGCTAGAACAATTAGGGGTACTTTGGTAATTTTACCCCCAATTATCATTTCGTTAAGGCCTCTAGAGGTAAAATTATCAAAGTACTCCTAATTAGGGCTTCAAATTGCCAAATAACAGCGATTTGGGAATTAAAGTTAAAAGCATACCGTCAAGTGTAATTTGTAATTTTTTGAACCCTTTAATGATATCGTAAGAAGTTTCAACCCCTTTTTTAATGTTTCCCCTTCTTTCTTTAACTTCTCTCAAACACCTTTCTCTACTTAACTCTCTCTCTCTCTCT